TAGGCAGATCAGGACGAACGATAATTACAGGTAGGTTGAGATGAGTGGGTGTCCGAGTGGATCGAAGTCACGATAGCTCAAGTGGTTAGAGCAGCGGCGTATTGAGCCGAAGGTCGTGGGTTCGAATCCCGCTCGTGACACTAACTTTTTCATTTCAACCAATACCTTACATAAAGATTAATTAATTGAAAGAAATTATTTGTTCAATCCGACCACGAAATATAATGGATTTGGTAATTACAGGATTTATCTTTGCCGAAGTGTTCGGTCATTACCAAAAAAATATCTTTGTTGTTATTTTATTTTACCCAACTTTACATCTTTTCCTGACGTTGTGGTATAATCTAAATAAAAATTACCGGAAGAACATGAAATAATTTTATGAAAATTGCAAATACGGCGTTTTTGTGAAATGCTCAAACTTCGTCCATTTTTTTATAACAAATTATGAATAAATTAATAAGTAATCGAAGATTAATTAAAATTTCTATTCCTTCTAGTTTGTCGTTTCTGATCCTGGTCCGCCCTTATTTTGTCTCTACACAGAGCGCCTAAAGGATACTTTTTTTTCCAACTTCAATCTTTTCCTAACATCGTGGTATAACCCAAATAAAAACCTTATCCCCTGAAATACACGAAATAATTTCTTGAAAATTGCAAGTAAGGCATTTATGTCAAATGCTCAAACCTTGCCTATAAGTGTTTTGCCAAAAATTTGTTTGCAATTTATAAGGATTATACAGATATTTGCTTTATAATAATGTATAAAATTGTACTAACAAAACTAAAAAATGAGCATTTTTTAAAAGGCTAAGGCTTCTCGGGGCCAGGGAATCGCTACATTTTCCAAACTGTCAACACGAAATATCCCAAAATCAGTCGTGATAGAGCGGAAGCGTCTAAACGGCAGTAAACTGATATAAGTTGGAAAAGGTCAGAGTGGATGAGAAGTGAGAAATTGAGTTCAGTCCCCAAGGGGCAGCCGAGCACCCTTATCTGACCGAGCCTCTCCGACCTCGGACTCCATAGACGTTTATTAACCGGAAGAAACATCCACTGGCGCCTTTCGGTCTATTACAGCGAAGTGGGGTTGTACAATGATCATCCGTCTACAGAATGAAAAAGATTATGTATAAATGAAAATAAATACTGGTTTTTACGGTTTGACCGGTCACTAATGTCTTTAGCAAATGCACAATCCAAGGGTATCAAGCCTACTCTGGAATCATTGCTAAAAAAACTATAAATTATATTAAAATTGCTGCATTCATTTTTAATACTTACTGTAAATTGACTAAAATTTTGTATTGATCCCTTGACTTTGAAGCTATAAAGAGGTTGAGAGCTTTTTTATGCATTACTTGTTGCACCTTGTCACGGACCAGGAGACGGCGAAAACCGGGACGTTCCGCTCTCCGGCCAGATCATCGCGATCGGGCCCTCTGACGCTAAGCTATCAGTAAAGAACATAACAAAAGAAAGATCGCAGCGACGGTGGGTGGATTCGTCCGAGAGGCTCCTGCGTGTCAAGAGGACCTGTAGATGGTCCTCCGAGAACCTAAACCGTTAACGAGGTTTATCCTTGCCCGATTAAGAATAGGTCATATGATGATCATAACACACAGGCACCTGATTATGGTCCAAAACCCGCGCGGGTGCCCTTATGCATAGAAAGGTGGCTTGTCGAGCCTTGGCTCCTTACAGAAAGCGTGTAGGCATGATGCCGAATTTATAACTGGTTCTCGGGCCAGTAGCGTGTTTCTAGGTCCCTGTTCGGTTTTTTGGAAGACGTGGGGTTTTTTTTTTTTTTATTGGGTGTTTTGTTTGAAGGAGTGTATGGTGTAAGGGGTGATGGTCAAATATAGAGTTGCTGCTCCTTCAGCAGTGTGTGTACATAGGGTCGATGGCCGAATATTTATAAAAGTACCCCCATCGACCCTTATTTAGATTACACTATCAATATTGTGTGTGATCGATGAAGTACAATGTACATGTTTTGTGGTTGTCAAGGTCGCATTTATTTGTACGAATGTATTATAGAAGTTAGTTTTAGGCTAGATTATAGTTCGCATGCGTTGGGGCTGAAAAGACCTACCGGTTGAAATTCTCGTTGGTTGGGATAACAGCGGCCCAGCTAGGGTAGGTGAACTCCCCTTTGATTTGGACCTGGGGTCAGCAAATCGGGGAGCGTCAACCCTTCGGGGTGAAAGCCCCAATAGACGTATCAAGTTACATATAGCCTCGCGACATCAACAATATTGTGTTGATCCCACAAAGTTAAAAAAATTCCAAACGAGAAAGGGTTAAATCTCATCCCATTCTCTCCACCCCTTCTAGCTTTCCTGCTATTTGGGATAAGAGCCCACTATCAATCATCATCATTAATAGTGTGCCAAGTAAATAAGAGGACGAAGGAAATATCATTTATTATTTGCTTAAAGTATCGTACAAAAATGAACGACTTTTCTTCTCTGTAATACGGTTTTAGAAAATAAGGTTATATTTATATCATAAAAAATTATAGAATTATTATAATTAAAACTATATTTCTTATTGTATTTGAGCATTAAAATATACTTTACTTCTGTCCTACCTATGATTGTATTAAATAATACCTTGGATAGCTAATCTATCCTTTAATGAGAAAGATTTTTAAAAAAATTCTAATTGCCAAATTTTGTTTATGTTTATACAGACTCGTTTATTATTCTTAGGCCTCAATTGGGTCGTATATTATCTCGCAAAAACCGGCATTGACTACGTTTGGTGTAAAACTTCAGTATTAAATTTAATTCAGAACTTTTTTCTTTTAATTGAAACCTAGTTATTTCGGCAAACTGATTCACTGGGGTCGAAACTTTCCTTTTGAAAGTTCTCTTTGCACGATTTACTGCCTCTAGGAACTTCGCCTGCGCTTCGGGCCTTCGGGGCAAATAAATATGCCCGGACTTATCACATTCTGGACGAGCGCGTTTAAGGATTTTGCTAACAGGCCGGATACGATCTGTGGAAGGTCGTGTAAATTATATTCCAATGTGATTTATTGGAATATATTATCTTTATTTATAAAATAATAATAAATTTATTTATCAACTAAGAACAACTTAATAAGAACAGCAAGGACGCCGTTTAACCCGGAAACTCCGGTGAATCAGCGGATGTGATTATCTTAAAAATCAATGCTGTAAAGACTAGCTGGACTCCATGACCGACAAATTACAGGAAATAAAACCGGTCCGTCAAATCGTGGACCATGGAGGAAATAGGAAAAAAGAAAGAATCATATTGACTCGCCTGCGGATAGGCCACACCGACTGACACATTAGCATCTCCTCAACAAGAAGGTACCGGAGATGCCCTTTATGGAGAGCACAAGTATCTATAAATCACAATGCGAAGAACTAGCTCCACAAAAGAGAAGGTGCCTGCAGATTTTAAATAATTTTAAACAATTGCTAAAGCACAGAAGGGATCATAATAATAAATTGATTGACTGAAGCAGATAAACTTATATGGTCTCTTATAATCCCTTTCTTACATAGATTGAAATAATGTCCTTAATTTGAGTGAATGAATTTATTAGCGTGAACGTTATGGTATGTTCGGGTGTGTTTCTGTTGGAATACAGAGTACCCACAAACACACCAAAGTAGTCGAGGTTATTTAGTTTTATATATATAGTAGAATATTAAAAACCCTGGTGATTACCCAATTGACTGAATGTATTTATTTGAGTAAGTGGTTAAGAGTATATGTGTGAACATCGAGTACCCACAGAACTGTCAAACCAATTAGTTTAACTAGTAGTGAATGCGTGATTTTTACTTGTGTGAATGTATTTATTGGCGTGAACGAAGGGAAGGCGTCAAGGTGAAATAGCTATCCCGGGCTCCTAACATAATTTTATTGTACATAGTTTAGAAGTGGAGACTCAGCAGTATATCCAGAACTCTTGGGACCCACGACCATCTCCGTTGTACATCCAGGTCGGCCACTACCTTCTCTTCGAACGAGATTTCCGATGGCCATACATCGTTGTAGTCCATCGTGGATGGTAGATCGCGGCACACCCAGGACATGGGTTTTGTAACAAACACGATGTCGTTGAACGTAAGCCCGAGCGAGATCTTTCTTAAAACAATGCTTTTAAGAAAAAATTAATAATTAATTTTTTTCTCAAATTTATTGTTTCTTCAAAGGAAACAATTTATAAGAAATCTAATGAACTATCTCGACAAGTTGGCTCTGGAAAGTATGAAACTGAATTTATTTTTAATCTAAAGAGTGTAAAAGGATTAATAACACTCTTTAAAAGTAAACAACAAGCTATTAATGTTGTGATGACGTTTTATGTCAATTATTAATCTTTATATCTTGTTATTATAGAAAATAAACAAATAAATACAAGTACCAGGTTTTTTGTCATTGGGTGGATACTATTTAAAACTACTATTAAAAATTTGGAAAAATGTGTGGTGATTAGTGACCGTTAATCGATAATTATTCAGAAATCGTGAGATGCGGTCTGGTGTGATGTAGGTTTCAGAAAAACATTTTCTTTATCGTGCCAACGTTTCGATCTTTATTGAGATCATCTTCAGGGCCTGGGATTTACAAACATTGTTTACATTTAACAAATATAATTTTGCAATTGTATAAATTCACTTTTTTCCACATTCTACATGTATTTGTTAAATGTAAACAATTTTTATAAATCCCAGGCCCTGGAGATGATCTCAATAAAGATCGAAACGTTGGCACGATAAAGAAAATGTTTTTCTGAAACCTACATCACACCAGACCGCATCTCACGATTTCTGAATAATTATTTGGAAAAATGTTTAAAATTTTATAAAAGCAATTGAAAGAAACTAATAGTAACTAACACACTGGACTTAGGCTTTGCAAGAACTAACCAAAAGTACTGGAAACATGAATGTTGTCATTGTGTAATCTCTGATGTCATTATCAGTATTGACTTTCCACGTACAACATCACCAGAATTGGGAGGTTTTAAGCCCTGTCTTGTATAGTTGTGTCTAGTGAGATCGAATTTTTTTATTAAACTGTGTTGAACATATTATGTGATTTTAATTAATGTTTTGAAACTATTTCGTGAAACTTTTTTAATCAGGGCAATCAATAATGATTCACAGTCTTTTTATCATTAACTCCTCTGGGTAATTATTATGGAATTTTAGAAAAAAATTGAATCTCGACTTATTTATGTTTTTCAGGGATGTCTTTATGGAGAAACACTGGAAAAGCGTGATTTCCAGGTCTGTATGCGATTATTTCTTCGACGAACAGAGGAAAGTGGGCAATCCGGAGGACATGCCACCGATCATACCGACTCCTCACCATTATCTCATAAGCATCCATAGGTGTTCCATGTTTTATGTTGCAGTATGTATGACAGAAGGTAAGTCAGGTGCTAATCGTGCAGTGTTCTAATGTCGCAAGTATCAAGGATGATTTTCCTTTCAGTTCCTCCATTATTTGTGATAGAATTTCTACACCGAGTCGTGGACACGTTTGACGATTATTTCGGAGAAAGTACTGAAACTATTATTAAAGAGAATTATGTTGTTGTTTACGAGGTAAAAATACATTTCAGTATTCTGTTGATATTAATATGATGTTAATTATTACTGTTTTAGTTGCTCGATGAAATGTTGGATAATGGTTTTCCTCTAGCGACTGAATCCAATATTCTTAAGGAATTGATTAAACCACCTAATCTTCTGAGAACGATAGCGAATACAGTCACTGGAAAATCAAAGTACTTTTTCATAATTACTTATTCTTTACTTATAGTACTTCATAATTACTTCCTTCTTTGGAGAGATGGTAGCTCTAGGAGCGAAGAAAATTTTATCTCTTTGCTTAGCACCTATCCACTATCTTCACACTGCCCAGCGACATCCATAAACCTCCACAGACAAATGAAACTACACAAACCTTGAATATTTCTGTACCTCTTTCTCTTCCTCCTAAGGCTTTTCTACAGGGATAAGCTAGGAAAAGCTCATTTCACTCTAGAAACAATTAAACCGGAACTAAACACTTCAGGCAGACAACAATAATCAATAAATTCAGACACCCATTTTTCAAAATGGGGACAATCTTCACAACTTCCTACAATGTCTCACAGACCAAAGAATAAGAATTGAGGAGAACATCAGATAGATACAATAATTTATTTATTTTTATTTATTTTTTTTACTTTTACAAGCCAGTACAAAAAAAAATCAAAATCATTAGAGAAGTAAACCTCGTATTTCAAACTGAAATACATGCCATCAATGCTTAGAAGTTCCATTGGCAAGAAATCTGCATAAGATTGGATAGCTAAGCAGGTGTTAAAGCATTAACATGGAAAAATTTAAATCAAAACTAGTCAGTTAATACATCCAAAATCTCAAAAACTGGGGGTAAAGCGATAATCTGATGGCATCTTGGGTACCAGGACCCAAAGGAATTTTGGGTTATGAAAAAGCAGACACACTGGCCAGAGGAAGTATACAGGCATGAACCTATTCTTGGGATAACAAAAACAAACACAGAATGGTTCCAAAAAATTCAAAAGGAGAAGTGTATAAACTCTAGGGGCACTAGACATAGTAAACTTTGGCTAAAATAACCCTCACCAAGACTAGCAAACTCACTACTACAATTAGAGAAAGCTAAATTCAGAGGAGTGATAAAAATATTAATCGGCCACTTGCATATGTGAAAACACCTACACAACATGGCCATATACAGCGATGACCCCATCTGTAGATTATGCAATGAGGAAAAAGAAACAGCCACCCGTATCATCTTCGGAAGGAGGCATAGTCTGGAATAAATTGCAGCAATGACATTCAATGACCTAGCACCTCTTAGGAGAAGGATCAAGCACTGCACTAAGAAACTAGAAAAGTACAGTAAGCCAGAAGGCTGCAGTGCTTGGGAACAACCCCCCCCCCCCCACTTCTAATATCCTTCATCATCAAAGTCTTCAGCTTCCAGCATAAAAGACGTAATCAGACATCTCCCCCTCAAAAAGAGTCCTGGATTTGATTGCATATCCCATCCTACCAAGAAAAGAAAAGGCCTCATTTTCCTTACAACTTAATTCTGTTCTACGAACACATATTTTCCCGACATTTGGAAATTTTACACTGTAATTCATTTCCGTAATTATTAATAATCTTTCTGTTATTACCTGTTAATCTTCCTGTATCCTAATGCCCTATCAATCTCAGCGCCTATACCCTATCATTGAATCTCAAGAAATTATTCTGAGTCACCAGTCTGGATTTAGGTCTCCATTTTGCAATCCATCAATGACATTTCATCTTAGACGTCATTTCATCCTCCCTTGAGCAGAAGAAGTTTTTACCAGGAGTGTTCCTTGACATTGCTCTAGCCTTCGACCAGGTTTGGTAGCAGAACACCCCTAAAATTCTACCTGTCTGACTGTTACTTCACAGTTGGAGAGGGCACAGCAAAATCCTCTTTTAATCCTATCCAAGCTGGCATCCCACAAGGAAGCATTATTAGACCTCTCCTATTCCAGACGTAGCAAACATCTATTACAAAAAATGTCATCAATCCTTCCCACTCATCCCAATGCCTTGGTTTATTAGCTCAGTTCCACTACCACCCCAGATAATCACCCCGTCGACTGATTCACTAATAGCTATGTGCTTCCCTCATATAGTGACAAAGAAAATTGAAAAGATAAATCAATTATATATATATATTTGATCAAATATATATATTTTATTTGAATTATAGGAGGCTCACCACTGAGTGAGTTCTCAAATGCTTTTTGTATCAATCGTTTCATTCTTGCAGCATTTTAATTATTTTAGAGGTGTAAAAGTTAATTTAAAAAAATAATTAATTTTGTTTGTAAATCAGTGTTAGTTCTACACTTCCGAGTGGACAGCTTTCAAATGTCCCATGGCGCCGGACTGGTGTTAAATATACAAACAACGAAGCTTATTTTGACGTTGTTGAAGAGGTAGATGCCATCATTGATAAATCAGGTTCAACCGTGTTCGCTGAAATTCAAGGCTATGTAAGTTTGTTTAAATTAATAATACTGAATGCCATAATAATATTTTTTGGTTTGCAGATCGACTGTTGTACAAAGCTGAGTGGAATGCCCGATCTCACTTTATCCTTCATGAACCCTAGGCTATTCGACGATGTCAGTTTTCACCCTTGCGTTAGATTTAAGAGATGGGAGGTAATAGAGTAAAGTGAACATGGGTCAAATATAATTTTAAATGAAATTTTAATTAAACAGGCAGAAAGAATCCTATCTTTTATCCCTCCTGATGGAAATATGAGGTTAATGTCCTACCACATTGGATCCCAAAGTGTAGTGGCGATTCCAATCTATGTTAGGCATTCTTTAAACTTCAAGGACGGCCGGTTAGAGCTGACTGTCGGTCCGAAACAAACCATCGGCCGAACTGTACGTTATCGATTTATAATTAAAACTCTTTATTTTGTCTTTAACTGTATGGTTACAGGTAGAGAATGTCATCGTCGAAATCCCGATGCCAAAATCAGTATCAAACTGCGTACTTTTGTGCAATCAAGGTAAATACACTTTCGATCCAGTGAGCCGACAATTGGTTTGGGATATTGGTAGAATCGACGTCACCAAACTACCGAACCTACAAGGAACGGTAAGCTTTGAAAAATGATCTATAAAAAATACAGTTATTTTAACACAATTATTGCAGATAAGCTGTCAGCCTGGTACTTTCATCGACTCTAAACCGACAATGAATGTAAGACCTTTTTTGACAACAAAGAATTTATTATAAAACTAATTATTGTCATATTATCTCAGGTGAAATTTACAATAAATCAAATGGCAGTTTCTGGCCTGAAAGTCAACAGGTTGGACATGTACGGCGAAAACTACAAACCATTTAAAGGAGTCAAATACATAACTAAGGCCGGCAAATTCCAAATAAGAATGTAAAATGTACTCTTTCATGATCGAGTGCGATGAACCATGATTTCAAAAACATTCTAAATCTTTGGATGATAATTTTTTTTTTTTATTCCACCCAAAGTATGTAACATACTGTATATAATTCCTGTGATGTTATATTATTTATATTTTATTACTCAATACAACTATTTTCATTTAGAGAATTATTTTTTAAATTAAATTTGTTTATCCAGTGTTCTTTTATGCCATTATAATTTTTATATTATCCTTTATTTTGATAACACCAAAAAAAATCAGTACAACAACTCAATGAACTGGCAGAATTATACTGTAATAAACTGATCTTTGCATTATCATCATACAAATAAGATGTACTGAACAAACTATTTTAACATAGATTGAACAAAAGCAGCAATCTGCACCGATTCCTTATCTGTCATAATTAATTTGAATAATAAATTATGTTTTGTGGTTTATTATATTACATAAATAATAAATTTGCAGACCACCCATGGATACAAGATATCTTAGAATCATTGTACAAATTTCAAACACAAGCCTACAAAATAATATTTAAATGTGTTCCAGGGCACTATGGAATAAAAGGAAATGGGAAAGCAGGTTAACACTATGAAATAATGTTCATAATAGCAATAAAAGAAATTCCTCTAAATGAATATATTTCCCTCCTGAAAAGAAAAAATGCTACTGGCCATGCAAATGGGAGGCAACGGGACAAGTTGAGGAAAGTAAAAAATTTGTATCTATTGATCAAGCATCATAAGACGGTACTTTTTTAAGTCTTTGTCAAAAGGTCTCATCAATATATTTTATTGTTAGAAGGGACCAAAGAAATTCAGATCCACCTCTGAAGATGACAAAAAGCCAAAGAATATACAATAAACCAAAATTATGAAAATGGGTAGACAAAGTGACTGAAAATGACCAAACTGTGTATTTTAATATAGCTTTGTTCGGCTAATCTCAAATACTTTTGTTCCAGTAGATTAGAAAAAATTAATGTAAACAAAACATGAGGTTTCAAGGCAAAGAAGTAGCCATGTTAAAAGAAATATTTAGTTTTCAATCTAGTTATTAAAGTCCTCATGACACTTAATTTTTTTAATTTTAAGCTTTCAGCTTTTAATCATGCATACAATTCAATTACACTTAATTCATCAATTTTGATCTGATATATCATAATATATTGTTTTTGGAAAAATGCAAACCGTATGGCTTGTTTAGTATTTATAAACAAAATATTACAATTTTAGTTGTAAGATCTTATAGGATTGGGAACTGAAAATCAGTTGGATTTATGACCATTGTAAAAATTTTATCCTCTATAAATTCTTGTGTGTAGCATCGGTGGTCACAATAGTTTAGGCATTGATGCTTATCACCGTATGGTAAAGGTCCCAAATTCAAATCATGTATTGTGAAAAGTCTTAACTTCAATGGCCTGTGCGCAGACTCATCTAAAACTTTTTTAAAAGAGGCTGGGATTTGTTTCATAGCTAAAGCATATCTGTGGAGAACACAATGACTGCTGTTGTAAAAAAAACTTTTTTTTTCACTACTCATTGTTGTTAGTTTTTTTTAATTTTATTTATTCATTCTATGTTTATTTTTGAAATTATTGTTTTTCTTGAAGTTTCGCCACAAACCCCTTAGGGTTGGCAGGCCCCCAAAAAGTCCACAGGTTGGGAAGCCCCATTTTAAACATTGTAAAAACAATACAAAGCTTAATTCACCAAGTTTGATTAATATATTTTTGTTGAAAGGATTCAAACTGTAGGTCTCATCCAGTTTTTATTAACAGAATATTGCTTTTTTTTAAAGAAGTTTTGTGTAATAATCCCGTGGGTTGTAAGAAGGCAAACAGCTTGTCAATATTCGAAGGTTTGTCCTTAAGAATCTCTGACAGTTGTCTGGCCAGGCGGTGTTGCCTTCTAACCTGGGCATATTTAACATAATCCTCGATTATATGTCTTACTGTTACCAATGTACTACATATGTAGGAGGCGACTCTACTGTGATAACCAACCTCATGATTATGGGGTGGAGACTGGAGTAGAAGCAGAACTACACAGGCAGAGGAAAATTAACTTCTGTATTAAAAGTTAATAACTACAGAATTGGAGGGCTTACGGGAAACAGACAGTTGTTACAATCTTTCCTATTATATACCTGGGTGGGAGGTCTAGGAGTGGATTTAGCAATGGTGGGAGTGAAGGGTGTCAGTAAAGTCCTTTTCTTGGGAAGCCAGAATAAGGGGAAAGCTTTTAAATTAAAATATTTAGAGATAATTGGATAATGGTTATTACTCTACAGCCATCAGATACCCATGGGTAAGCTTGCAGTACCCTCTTCTCAGCCAAGACAATACGGTACTTCCTGTTTTGTTGCCTGGCAAGAAGAGGCTGTACATCACTCAGCTTTATTTCCCTGAGTTTATTTCAGTCCGTGCTTTTTGCCATTGCTACCATGTCTTTTTTCTAGCGTGTGCAATTATATCGGTATGTGGGGTAAAGTGCAAATGGACGCCTTCTGCAATGCAGTTTTGGTTCGGACTAAGACCTCATCGGAATGAGGACTTTTGTGGCATTGCACACATTTGATCTATGACAAGTGATGAATTTTTTTGCTATTGCATGTTTTAATTTGTTTAAAACATAAAGATGAATTAAATTTTTTTGAATTATTGAAGGGCAAATTGTAGATTTTTGTTATTATTATTTGGAAAAAATATGTTATCATAGTCAGTCAAGGGAAAAATCAGCTTTTTTTATTAAAAAAAAAAGAAAACACCAAATTCAATCACATTTCCTATTTCTGACGTGACCAAATGTGGAGCGGGCAGGTCATTAGTGACTAGTGATCGTCGTCGAAGGCAAGGAGTAGGGAAGGACAGAACATGTGACCCTGTGGACAACAAAGCCTTCTCCGAATAACCTTCAGGTCTCGTAGACTTTTTTCAAAATCTTTCTTGTTAATTTGGATAAAGCTGTAGATTCGGTTTCGACGGAAAAAGCGGTATCGCGATGAACGGAACGGTTGGACGCGTGCGAGAATTCGGGAGGCGTCTCGCCCTTCCGGAAAGGTGAGACATCGCACCGACAAAGGCCCGTTGGTCAATTAATCATTTATCGTATTTTTATTATTTTTCTTGCATTAGGTTGAACGCATTTTGGACGCCTAGGAAGTTCTCGTCGGCAGTCGAAAAGCCGCCGGCTGCCAAGTCGTTCGACCAGCCTCCGCTCTCTGAGCCGACAAAGGGCCTCCCGAACGTCATCTACGCAGGCAGCAGCAACAACGATTGCAACAAAACCCAAATCACGACCCTTCCGAACGGGTTGCGCGTCGCCTCTGAAAACAAATTCGGCCAATTTTGCACAATAGGAGGTAAGTGAGGCCGGATCGTTTTATTTTCATCGCCCAAACTTGTAAACCCGAAATGCGCCCTCTGCCATGTCAAATTGACGTCATTTCCAATGATAATTGACAAGAAATAGGGCCCGAAATGCAGGCCTACCAACTTGGAAGGCAAAGCACAGGCATCCTTTACTGGAAAAGCAACCATTTTTTTAAGACGAATTTTGAAAAAAAAAAATTTTTTTTTGCCCTTTGTTGTATATTTTGTTTGCCACCACATACATCCAAGGAAATCAATTATCTATCCGAATCGTGTATCTAGGAAGCTGTAAGTTAAATTTTATAGATAATATTTTTGCATATTTGTTGAATACCGCATAAAATTGCATATTTGAACAATATTTATTTAGAAATCGTGAGATGCGGTCTGGTGTGATGTAGGTTTCAGAAAAACATTTTCTTTATTGTGCCAACATTTCGATCTTTATTGAGATCATCTTCAGGCCTGGGATTTACAAACATTGTTTACATATTACAATTACATTTTGGATGTGGAAAAGTGAATTTATACAATGCAAAATATATTTTATATATTCAATACAAGTATTTCTACTCACTCAAAGTGTTTGTCTTCTATGTAATTGTGTCATTCTTGCATGTCGTGTCGAGAGTGCCAGTGAGATTTTGCTATTTTGTGTTTATATACGTTGGATTTTGAAGGGGTGGGGAATGAGAGTGAGTAGAAATACTTTGATTGAATATATAAAATATTTTTTGCATTGTATAAATTCACTTTTTTCTACATCCTACATGTATTTGTTAAATTTAAACAATGTTTGTAAATCCCAGGCCCTGAAGATGATCTCAATAAAGATCGAAACGTTGGCACGATAAAGAAAATGTTTTTCTGAAACCTACATCACACCAGACCGCATCTCACGATTTCTAAATAAATATCGATTAACGGTCACTAATCACCACATATATTTGAACAATATTGCTATTTGAAGGATTTTTACGTAAAATTGCATTTATCGTGCAAAATATTTAAAATATTATATTGATTTTTGGGGGAAGCATAAAAAATCTGTAAAAATGTAACAAGTTGACGAAAAGTTGGTTTAATTAGAAAAAAACTGAAACAGGCTGCAACGACGGGAAGTGAAGATTCTAGCAATACCGACAAAAGAATATAAAACTCCTTAGGACTTTCCTTTCTACGTACTGCCACAATTCACGAAAAGTGGCATATTTTAGTTCTTTGTTGAGCTTTAAAGCATTGGTGTGAGTATTTATCAAGAAAAGAAAAAAAAAAGAAAGCAACCAGGATAATGGCCTTCAGATTTGGTCTTACACACCTGAATTACTTGGAAAGACTGAACTGGCTTGGTTTTGATTCGCGTAGCTCCTGCCGTATTTTTGCCGATCTCATTTGGGGTTGGAAATTGTGGAATGGGGCCATTGATATTCTGATCTTACATTTATTGCTATGTGTGCCTCAGCGACCACTTAGGAACCATAATTTGTTCTTTGTTCCACACTACAAAACAGAATATGGACTAAATTCACCCCTACCGAGGATAATCAGATTGCTGAATTATTCTAATGAAATAGATGTATTTCGCGATTCCTTGAATTCAGTTAAAGTTAAATTAAAATGTTTACTTGCCTTGAATCATTAAGCCTTGTGTTTTTGTTATTATTGCTTAATTGTTCATTTGTTCTTTTTGTTATTATGTGCTTTTTTTGACTACTCCTCTTGTAGTTTCTTTCTGTTGGAGTTATAATAAATAAATAAAAAGTAGCCTATTTCGAGTTACGTCAGTTTTTCTTATTTAGTGAAGGATTTGAATTCCAGGACAGAGGCGTATGCAAAAACGTTCATCAAAGACTTGAAGAAACTGATGGCAAAACTACTAAACCTACAACTAGACTGAAAGTAGGACTGGTGACTGTATATTGCAAATTCCGGAGGCATATATACAGACTCAGAGCAGCAAAAACTAGTCTGTCACCAGTATTTAAAAAAATATATAAAAATTTTTTTAAAAATACGGAACATGTCCTCTGTTGGTGTGAAGGAATATTCAGACTGATTGTGTCCTGAGAGAGGAAAACTCAAAGCTTGAATGAAGCACACGAGACTCATTGGCAAACTTTGGCTTCTGATAAAAACTTAACAAAGAGCTCTACTGCTCTACATAATCATGGATATTGCACAGTAAACCACTATCAATTGTGGTGTGTAAATTTGTAAAGATGCTGACGCCTTTTAACATTAGCCTTACCATATGTATACTGGGTCTCTTCCTCTTGGTAGAGCCTACACAGTCAACTTCAGTCGGTCGTGATATTTTCAAATGTCTATTGGGTTACAATGTCAAGTTAACATATCTACAATGGTCCTGAGTGTCGCTAAACTATCTGTTAGATTAACTTTTGATGAAGAATTCTGTGCTCAGTTTTCATATTAATTCCGCAGTAGCAGCAAGAAAACTATTTCTTCATACATATTTCTTATATTGGTCCTTAAAAATAAGGTTATAGACTTAAAACATCAATTTAAAAAAAAAATTTATGTTTTAGTAATAATTGATTCTGGGTCACGGTATGAAGTTGCTTATCCGAGTGGAGTCACTCATTTCCTCGAAAAATTAGCATTCAGTGTGAGTAGAGCACCCTGACAAAAATTATTAGTTTACTCTGACTAATTTTAATTTAAAACCTGTTTCAGTCCACAACTTCATACGCCGACAAGGATAAAATTCTTCATGAACTCGAAAAACATGGTGGAATATGTGATTGTCTTGCATCCAGGTAAATAATTTTACGTCATTACCTGCTGATTATATTATATTTATTATTAATATTTCAGAGATACGTTTATTTATGCAACATCAGCTGATAGAAGGGGTTATGATACAGTTGTGAAAATTCTCGGCGATGTTATACTAAGACCTCAATTAACTAACGCTGAGGTGGTTTTCCTTTATTATAATCTCTTGTATATAAATAAGGAAACAAGCAATAATAAATTAATATTTCAGATCAATTTGGCTTCCCAGTATATTAAATTTGAACTTGAAAATCTAATGACAAGGCCAGAGCAAGAAGCATTGCTTACCGATATGATATATGCTGTGAGTTTCACTCGCCCTCAATTTTGATTTTACTTCTCCCTCATAAATTTGTCTTCTTTTTTTTTCAGGCGGCTTACAGAGACAACACCCTTGGTCTACCAAAAATATGCCCTGCTGACAACATCTCAATGGTTACGAGAAATGTTATTCTAACATTTTTAAAAAGCCATTATCATCCAAAGAGAATGGTTGTTGCCGGAGTTGGGATTGATCACAACCAACTTGTTGAAGCAGTGCAGAAGTGAGTAATTTTTATATTAAATAGGTGTGAATAGTGATAATACATATTATTTTTTTTTTTTTTTAGACATTTTGTTGAAAACGAACCAATTTGGGGAAAAGGCGAGAGTACAACTAAAGTTGATGAATCGTTAGCACAATACACAGGAGGAATAGTAAAGGTATTATTAAATTGTAATAAATTTATTGTTGTAACTTCCCTTTTTAAGTATAAATGAAAATCATTTAGTCTTGAAATAATTTGTTTTGACATTATTTTTCATTGTCAGGAGGAATGCAATATTCCTCTTCATATGGGTCCATCGGGTCTGCCAGAATTGGCTCACATCATGATCGGTTTGGAAGCTTGCGGCCACCAGGACCCTGACTTCATTCCCATGTGCGTATTGAACATGATGATGGGAGGTGGGGGAAGTTTCAGCGCAGGAGGTCCAGGAAAAGGCATGTACACCAGATTGTACACAAACGTCCTCAATAGGTTAGAATTAATATAAATAAAATATTTTTTCGACTCGTTATCATATTTTTAAAATCCCAGGTATCATTGGATGTTTAATGCAACAGCGTACAATCAGAGTCATGCCGACACCGGACTGTTTTACATTCACGCAAGCTCGCCTCCGAATCATGTTAACAGCATGATTGAAATTATTCTGAAAGAAATGGCTGCTATGGCTGGAGATGTTGAAACAGAAGAGCTAAATGTACATATCACTATATTGTTTTATTTACATTCATTTTCTAAAAATCTAATTTTTTTTAAATATAATTTGTAGAGGGCTAAAACACAACTACAATCAATGATCCTGATGAATTTAGAAGCTAGGCCAGTTATGTTTGAAGATATTGCCAGACAGGTCTTAGCGACAGGAAAAAGGAAGACACCTGAACAATTTATTAAAGAAATTGGTAAGCTTTTTTTTCTTACATATAGAAAAGAGATAATATTCATGTGTAATATATAATAGGCGCAGTTACAAAAGCCGATATTGAAAGAATAGCAGTAAGGATGTTGAAGTCACAACCTGCAGTTGCTGCCAGAGGTGATATTCGAAAACTCCCTTCTCTACAGGATATTCAAACTGGCTTATCAGACAAAGAATCTTCTCAGAGCAAAATGAGGTTCTCAATTCTCCACTGATTAGTTTTAAATATTTAAAAATATCTGATTTGACAAATATAAAATAATGTTCTAGTTATGGCCTTTAATTATTGTGTACATAGTGAAATGTTTTGCTTTTCAAAAAGTCTATCAAAAAAATTTTTCATTTTATATTCTACCTGTCAAAAAGTTAAAATACAAGCTGTTTAAAAAATGTACCGTTTTTACATGACTTACTTTATTCAAAAGCCCTATTATAAAAACATAAATTTTGAAATAATTGTTTATTGTTGGTTGGTTGATTGATTAGTTTTTTTTCTTTTTTGTTTCTGGAAAAGCTATTACTGGGATCTTGAATTTCTAAGGATATAATGGAGCAAAGACATCATTAACGACGTAAAGATTTCTTATGCATTTTACATCATGACACCATTTCAGTTTCCATTCTTTAAGCATGCTCTCTTTCTGTGCACATTTCGCTTTAAACCTCTCCATTTCATCCGTGTCAATACGTTCCATTTTCTGAAAAGAAAGATTAGAAAACTTTAAACTCAGATAAGTTTGGAAGAATGAAAATTATTTATCTCTGAGGTTTTGAACTCGATTATCAACTGTCTGCCTATTTTCTTTGGTTTTGTCACAGACCAACCACTGAAAATGGCAAAAAAATCTAAATGCATCTGATAATATCAATGGGAAAAGGAAGACGTAAGAAAGTAAAATAATTCCTGTCATAATTAAAAATCTATGGGTTATGCCGGATATTCGAACCCAGGCTAGTGTGACAATTTGAGTCAGAGAAGGTCTAGAATGATCGTTGATAAAGCTTTAAATTTATCCCAATTTTGAAGAATAAAATTAAAATTAATTAAGGTTTTTAGTCAAGATAAATTGGTTAAAATTAATTGATCAAGCGGACCATAAAATTAGTGAATTTAATCAAATTAAAATTTCAAGGTTTGACTAGTTATTTGTTATTGTAATCGATCATTTTGGCCTGCCTATTCTCGTTGGGTTGGTCTGATAGAGGCGTTTTGTCATTTCACCATGTTCAATAATGGGTCTGAATGATTTTTACACGACCAATGAAACCGGCGAAACAACATCCGACTAATCAAGCAAGGATAGGCGGAACGAAAAGACTGGTAGCAACCAAATTACAAATTCATCGCCTTGCAGATCACAGAAAAAAATCTCATATTACCATGTAAGTCTTGGTATTGTATTAGAAAACTTTTTAGCCAAATTTTCAAGATAAATTTCTCATTTCTGCCACAACAGTTCTGCGTTCAAATTCCGTTTCTCTCAGAAATATTGGGAATAATTTGAATTTAACAAAATATATTAAGTGATCTGACTTCAAAAGTACCAAATTATCTAGAGTTCGTCATTAAGACTTTTTACCAGATCCCAAAGCTTCTTCAAGGACTCTTCAGGCCAGGTTTTCCTCTCCCAGGAGTAGGAATCTCATCCTACGTAAACCTTAATTAAATTGCCATCAGCAAAAAGTCTCAAGAGTTCTCTGTTTTAAAATAAAATCATTTATTATGAATAGAGAGGTCCCAAGATTGACCCCTGAGGAACACCAAGTTCTTTGATGAACTTTTTCACATGCCTCTGAACTGGCATACATTCCTATGGAACAAGAGATTTATTTTTAATCAATTGACTGATAAATCTACATTTTTGGAAGTTTGGTATTCCACAAAATGGTTCAGAAGCAATAGGTGTCATCAAACATTCCTTGGCCAATTTCCTTTGGTCCCTCATACCCAGGCAAGGGTAATTTTGGGGGAAGGGGAGTGTGAAATAAAATTCCAAGGGCAATGGTGGGAATTGAACTCACGGCGATGGTGTCTACACGCTAACCCCTCAGCTACCTCAATACCCCAACTTTACTTTTATTTTATATTATTTATTTTTTTAATAGCATTAATATTTTATACTAATTAGATAACATATAGAGAAGGATTGTAGAGAAAATATTACGGTTTTGTATTCATCAATTTTCAACTTTAATTCTTCATAGGAACTTGGAAATTTGATCTGTAAAAAGTATAATTAAAAATTAATTATCTTATTAAATATAATTACCATAAAATAAATAAATTGCTTACTAGTACAGTATCATTTAAAAGAATTCCTTCTTGTCCTTCGGTAATATGCATTATAAATTGCAGTATTATTTGAATATATTTATCAACATTTTTCGTTCCTAGAATTACATCAAAACTCCCTTCACTGTCTTCCAGTTTGTCTATTACACGACCTGAAAGTATATTTGCATAATTTACTCTATATAAGTTTTTAATCCGGTTCATTTTACCTTTTGCATCTGTTTTTGCCAATATATACTCACTGACATCTTTTTTCATTTGCTTCTGCCCCAAATGAAGCATATAAGAGTAAATATGTCTTACGAACTCCGAAACATATTCATTTTCTATCAGATATGTGTTCAAATCTTCAATCTTCAAATAGGTCTCTTCCAGTATTTCGTTCAGTTTTATATTAGCTTCCGCTACAACACCCTTTCCAGGAAAATTTTGTTAAAAAAGATCAAAAAATTTGATAAAAAATTTTACCTCAAATTCTTTTATAGCACTTTTCCATCTGGCACTTTCTTGAGAACTAAATTGTAAAACTTTTACAATTAGACCCTCGAGCAATTCTATATTCAACGGATAGCCAAATGATGGTTTCAATTCTTGATTGAGTAGCTCTTTTATTTTGTTTCCTGCAAGATCCTCCTCTTCCACTCTTCGTTCGAAACTACCTATAATTTCGTCCTTTTTCGCTTCTAATTCACAAAGGAAACTTTCGAAAACCTTTGTTGTTAGAGAGTTAATACCATCTTGTAAACTGGCTAAAGCGCACATAAAACCTTAAAAATAAAAAATTGATTTATAATTGTAAAAAAATATTTAATTCAAGATTGCAAGAAACAATAACTTCATAACTAGTTGCCTTTATTTTAAATAAAACAAAAAATGGTCAGTTTGCCATTTATTTGATTAAATCTATCATCAAAGAAAATACAGTCAACCAAACAAGGAAGAGTTGTAATAATTTAAAAGCCTACAATTTGATCTTTACTGATCATCACGGTCTGTCCGATGTGCGTCGGCATTTCACCATTTTTAGTGTGTCTGTGAACTTGAATGCAGAACTGTTATAACAAAATGCAAAAACGAGTCTGAGAGACTAGCACAGTGAGCATAGGCAGGCCAGGATGATTGGTAAGGATCAAATCACAAGTTCATCACCCTGCAGATCACTGGAAGGAAACTCACGAAAAACACAAAAGATAATTTTCTTTTAATAATAGTTTCTTTTAATATTTTTACATGATTTTTTGTCTTACAAAAACATTAAATGTGTCAATATCTTTTGTTAGGTTGATACATTGTAATAATTTCTTAAAATTATCGTTTTCGAATAAATTTTCTTCAATTAAAAATGTGTTTGTTAAATAAAAGATAAAATAGAAACAGGATGGTTAAAAAAATACTCAATACTTCTTAAACTCTGATTTGCACCACTGAGTTTGAGACTGAGTCTGCAAGTCAGTGATCACATGTTGACCCGACACTAAGTTACTTATTGGTTCCTCACTGAAGATGATGCAAAGCCAAAACAACTTTGAGTGACTTTAAAAATCAGCAAGTGTAGATGGATCTAGTAAGTAACACAGTGCCAGTTCAACAAATAACAATGTGCATGTGTTAATATAATTATAAACAGGTCCATTGAACTTACCATATATCATTTCAAACCATACATGTTCAATTTGTAAATTGAACTTTCTTATTTTTATCATGTACTTGTGTAAGAGATCCCCACAGAGTAAGACGTATTTTTTTTCTCCTTTCATTTTTGTAACAAGATTCTACCAAATCAATAAAGTTCAAAGAACAATAATTCGGATGATAATTTTTGTTTGATAGTTAACTCACCATTAACTTGTTTTTGCAGTCATTAAAAGCGTCCATCATAAGTGTTTTTGTATTGCACAGAAAGTTATCTGTTTCTACTGATTTAATGTAAGTTGTGTAGTAAAAGAGTGGAGGATGTGGATAAGCCTGTAGGACATCGTCTTGTGGATCGTTTCCCCTCGAGCCAAAATCCATTTGGAAATTTCCAAAGTGGAATTCTTCGCTGTCCGAATCTTCATGGTGGTCTATTTTTTCTATATGTTCTACTGAGTTTTCTCTCGAGGTTAAAAATCTGCCGCTCTCTTTCCTACTTTTCTTGCCCTGGTTGCCTATTCTTTTTATGAGTATCGAAGAATTTTTCACTGAGAGAAATGATCCGCCTTTTTTTCCATCCTTGAAATCAAATGACATTCCACTACCCTTTCTCCCTTTCCGAATGCCTGGCTTATACGAGTTCGACATTTCTTTTGATTTTTTTCTCGACGTCGCCTCTACTTTATATATTCCTCTATAAACACTTTTGCTTTCATGTTCTACAAAAATCATGGTTGAGATATAATTACCATATGCATAAAACTATATTTATTTTCATATATTAATTCTTATAATGCTAACCAAGTTTTTTGGATGTAATTGGCATTTCAAAGTATTTGCAGAAAAAGTTAATGTCGTTCATGGTATTTTTCCAAAATTCTCGACATGTATTGTTCCTCGCCTGTATTGAAAAAGATTGGATTTTATTGATAAAAGTTTTTGCGTTAAAAATTTCAATCCTCAACGCTCTTTTCAGATTGTCCAAAATACTGTTGCATGCTTTTGTTAGGTTGTGTTCATCGGCTTTCAACACTAAACTGTAAAACTCGGTTGGGTCAGTTGGCCTCATAACTAATCAAAATACACTTACTGGTGCATTGAGGTAAGAGCCCTTTTCGTTTTGGGTGATTCGCACTGAATGGAACTAAGCTTTTTACAAACCTCGTTATTAAGTGAGTTCATTGAACGTAAATCTTTTATCAATGTTCTTACACTCATTTCTGCCTCTTCAGCACTAAAATTGCCCCCTTCACCAAACAGCCTAAAGATATTTTCCAAACAAACATTAAACATAAAACTAAATTAGTCCAGTCCTCTCATACATGGCATCTTACTATCATAATTTGTTTTATTTTGTATTTTGTATACGTGGGTAGGAAGAGTTCACAAAAAGTTCAATTTTTCGAGGTTGGGAAAAACTTTGATTTTTTTTCTGATTATCTTAAAAACAACTAGGTTCAGTGACAGATTTATTATATAGTAACTTGGAAGGACTACGTGTTCTATAAGTTTTACCTTCATCACTTTTTTTGAACAAGTTGTTACACAATTGTCCTAACCCTGGGAGAGGAAATGTTCATAATGTACTCTACTTAAGTTGATCATGTAGATTCGGCCCAACCAACATCCTGTTCATCCACACATTCAGCAGATATGACACATCGACCACATTTGGTCAAGGAAAGATCATATTGAGCAGCTTTGAGAAATCTGCTGGAATGAAGATTGCTCAGAGCATATTATGAATGAAAGGAGTAGTCATGATGAAATAGCTGAAGTTGGTGATAGGTGTTCAAATATTTATACATGGGAGAGGTAAAATGCAATGAACCTCTAGGCACTAAACGATTTCAGCTATTCCGAAAATTAGAGTCTGCTCGGGAAACCAAAGCTCACTCGTCTGTCACCCACATTTAATGTTGCTAACATTCATCCATATAGTAGCAACATGTGACATCAGTATGAAATATGGATGGATGGATCCCAGTGGGGGCTACCAAAGACCCAACTATCCCTGTTTTATTCTTGAGAATGTTGCAACTTGCAAGAAAGCATGAGCCTGCTTTAAGGTCTCAAAGCAATTGAAAAAACTGCAGAGGCACAGGCAATTATGTTGTACTGTACTCATCCTACCAAGACTGATGTTCCCTTTTTATGGAACACTCAACAACAAATGAACATCTTGAAGAAGACGCATTTACCTAATATAAACTGAGGAAAGAAGTTATAATGACCCATATGTATGATGTGTCAATTTATACATAAACCAATGCTTAAATTTATAAATTAATAAAAAGTAATTGTATATGTCATTGCCATGGACCTCAACAATTAAATTTTAATAAAATGGTTTATCTTAATGTTTAATGTGAGTGGTTCATTTGGAAGGAGGTCTCTGAGATTTTTCACAAATTGGAAAGAAACGGTCAATTTTTGAGAAGCTGTAGCAAAAATAGAAAATATCAGGAAATTTAATCTTCTTTAAATTGCTATATAATAGATTTTTCAATAAACCCAAACATTTTCGAGATATTCAGAAAAAAATTCAAAATTTATTAATTTTCATGGTTTTCTGTCAAAAATTTCTCATCATAAAAAAAAGGTCACACTTTTTTTGTGAACTCTTACTACCCATACAAACAAAATAAACAAATAAAACAAACAACAACTTTTGTAAGGTAAGTAAATCTTTTTTCAATGAGGGGCTGGACAGCAAGTAAGAAATTTTCATTAACAGATACAATGTGACATTTATGGAAAAAATTGTTCATTTACAAAGTACGGAGGCAAATTAATAACTTTGAAAAAGAAAATTTTGGCACAAATTTCATTTCTTATCAAATCTAATCAAAAATATTTTTGTTTTATGTGTTAATTTTATTATTAAATTTTCTTTTTTCATTCTAGTTTTATTAAATAACTTATTTTCTGCCTTCTTATTCTATCCATCATCATATTATTGTGATAACATAAAAAGACAGTATAAGTTCTATTAAACAATAAAAAATGATATAAGGTAAATTTTATAAGTTTCCACCTTGGAAAAGTGATAAACAACTCACTTTATTGAACCTGGTCAATTTAGATTATATATTTTTATGTAATTTTACCTTATTGCTTTTAGTAATGAACAAGTACTGTGCTTCGTCCAATAAGTAACACGCTCGACTTCCATTTCTATTTTTTCTCTTAATAGATTTTTCTTAGCTTTTCCTGCTGCTTCCAAAGCTTCGACCTGTGATTGAATCATTTTTTTAATGTCAATGTCTAAAATTATTTAATGCGTAATATACTACCATTCCTATATAATAATTTGCTTGCGAAGGGTTTAGTTCAAGGGCGTTATATAGCTCGTTACTACTTTCTAATGTATTAGCATTGATTATCTTTATTTTTTCGTACAAAGTATGCGGAAGTAATTTTAACGAAGTAAACATTTGCTTAAGACCCTAAAACAATTTTATTTTCAACTGTCATTTTTTTAATATAAATTCGATCAAATGACTAAAACCTTCTTATGTCTAGAAATTATTGAATCATGCATTCGCAGTTCTGAAGCTCGCACATCATAGACGTTATTCTTAATCCTAAGTCTTCTTTGGTTTAGTTTTTCTTTTTCTAAATTGTACCAAAACTCAGCTTCGCCACGCTTAAGATCGAGCCAGTTTTCCACAAACGTTCCAGTAAAGAAGGCAATTTCCTTTTCCATTAGATTAGTAATTTCTTTATAACTGTAATAATAATGTTATAATTAAAAAATATATATATATATATAAAATGTGGAAAGTATAGGGGCCAACAAACAGCCTGAGGTCATCAACAGCATGGTTTTATTTATTTATCTGGTCTTTCACGCACATTTTTTAAATGCTCTCCTTTATATGAAAACAGTTGGTAGCATAAAATGCTAGCCTCTTGTTTGTACCTCAGGTTGCAAACTACAGAAGAGACACAAAACTTACAATACATCTATATATGCATCACCATCCTATACAAATATACAAGTCTGATCATATTCACTCCCCCAGACTACTCGATTAATTGGTTAAATAACCCCTTCCTTTCATGCTGTTAAATTACGTTCATTCCAATAAATTAATATAAGCACAACACAAACACAGACAAAACAATACAAACAGTTATTTTGTACATTTAAAAATCCCTATAGCCCAGGATAGGGTCTGGGATAAAAGTGGTGGCCATGAGGCCATCTGCACCTTGACCTGTTTTTTTTTCTTTTTTTCCAGGTTGTTAATCAGCCTCCATAGCCTTGCCAGTGGCTACTTAGTGTAGTTTCTTGTTTGTGGCTTTTCCTCTCCTATTTGCAAGAATCTGCACCTACAAAGACCTTCACAAAAATATAAAATGTGTTCTGCGGTCTCCTCCTCTTTTCCAGGCAGAATCTGTTTCTTTTGTATGTACTCCTATCCGGTGAATGCCTTCTTAGACAGCAGTTCCCTGTCAGGAGTCCAACCAGAATCCTGGTTTGGTTGCAGTTGCCTTCCAATAATTCCCTTGTAAGTTTTACAGATGATTCTTCTATGAATCTCTTTCTGTGCTTCATGCCTGGGTTCTTATTCCACCATACTTTAGATTAAGCATTAGAGCAAGATGCTAGGCCACAGTACAGTTCAGGACCTAGAGAGCCCATATTGGCTCCTCTTTGGCCAACATGTCAACCTTTTCATAACCTCATAGGCCTATAGCCCTGATTTGTACCTGCCGCCATACCCTAAGACTATGCACAGGTCTGATAATATAATACTTATAAATGTCAAGCCTTATTAAATTAAAAATGTGCTCAACTTTTATTTTATTCTTGCATAAAGGGCACCTACACGGTCGCTTTCCAGCCAGAAAGTGTCTTGTTGGACCTATGTGGAAAAAAAATTATAATATAATTTTTCACTAACCCATCCAGCCAATTTTGAATTGAATCTAAGCATAGTTGGATATCGTTAAGGCTTTCAGATAAAATGTTTCCTTCTTCGACCTCGTTTTCAGAATAACTGCTACCGTTAAACTCTGGAAGCTTTGGCTTTCCTTTAGGAAATGTGTCACCCCTCAACACAGCCATTTCAGCAGAGTACATGTCAAACAATAAAAAACAAGCATTAACGAACTCTACCCCATATGAATCGGAGGTATATTTTTCTTCAAAACAGCTAGAACAAAAGTCTTAATATACAAATACAATTAAAAATAAGCTTCTTTGGATGAAAAATTTCATACTTATTGTCATAAAAGTCCAACAGTTTGTTTACATTGTCAAAATTGGTTTTTAAATGATCCCGGCTCTTTGCCTGCCTTAATTTATCGATTGCTATATTTAAAACCTCGCCTGAATCCTGAAAAAAATGCTTTTCTTCTCTTTCTTTTAAAATTTAAACTGCATTTTCACCTGCATTTGTTTGTAAACATTCAAACGGTGTATTTCAATATTTCTTGAAAAACTGTGTTCAATACACTTTAATCTATTTATAAATTTATTCCAAATGTCAATCGAATCTCTTACAAATTTTCTACTTTCAACTACCTTCTCACCCACGAGGGCTACTATGTCACACCAAAGTGTCTGGAACAAAACAACAAAATAAATATTGTATAACTCTAAAAATAAATTATGACAAATTGTCACTTAAACTTTTTATGTTTGAAATTTAAGGTTACAACAAGAAATTGCATACTTTTTTCAAAATAATACCTGACTTTCCTCGTTACTCTGATCACTCAACATTTCCATGGCAGTTTCTAAGTGTTTTTTTAAAGTGAAGACTGTCTCGTTGTTTAATATGCAAATTTGCTCTTTACAAGCATCTACAAAACGATCATATTTGATATGTTACATTTTTTTGTAATAGGTGTGCTGCTGCCTAGAGACCTAAATGTGACAGGTACATAGCAAGTTTGGAGATCATTTGAAATGTCGGCATTTCCTGTTTGCAGAATTCAATCAAACAGTCGACCAATGTGACAATAGTTTCGTCAGCGGTGATTGTGTCAACGTTCTTGACATCAGGTGGAACTTCGAGAATCGCTTCTTCTAATTCCAAGCATTCCTTTATTTTACTGAAAAAATGTTAAATTAAATACACAAGTTTCACAAAACAAAAGAGACATGTGTATTTTAAAAGACACCCTCTTATATTTTTTAATATTTATTTGATTTGCACTGTATTTTTTTAACTATCCGAAGACTTACCTTGTAAATTATTCAATTACAAGCAAATACTAAATTTCTTATTCTTAAACATAAGTATAAAATAAGTATTTTCTTCTACAATTTTTAAAATGAAATTGTATAGTGGGATTTCTTGTAATTTGGTGTTACCAATCATTTTGGTTTGCCAATCCTTACTGGGATAGTCTATCAGACAGATTTCGCTATCTTTGGCATGCCTGCATGATTTCTGTGAAGTCAAGGGCCTTTTATAAGGTCAAGGTGGACTAAGTCGTGTCAAGATTTTTCAAAAATGGACTTAGCTCCCATCACTCTGGTCTGTTTATCATTGCTGGTTTTATTTGTCAGATTCCAGACTTTTCTCCACTGCAATCCATATAGGTCTTTTGTGGAACCTCTATAAGACCAAACTGTGGAAAGTGCACTTATTCCGACTTTCCACAGTGTCTCTTCAGTCACCTAGCTTGAAGTGAGAATTGCCTTACTGTAAGCAGGCTATTGCTTCACATTCACAAAGAATATGCGCAGATTTCTCTGGTTCCTTCTGACTGAGTCAGCATATTTATATCTCTGCTTTGCTTGTATTCTTTAGTTAATACTTAAGAGGGCTTTGACCAGTATAGAGGTCTATAATTTTCCTAAATTCTTGTCTGCTGAGAGAGAGGAACTTTCATCTTCCTTTTTGAGAAATTTATAAATCTTTCATTTTCCTCATATCTTAGGTTTTGTCCAGTGCTTGAGTTTTTCTTTCTCAAACCATTTTTCTAGCTCCAAATTTAGCACACCTTCCAGTATGCTTAGTAGTGACCATTTGCAGGGGTCTGTCAAAGTCGAGTTTTACTCTTATTTTGCTAATTGTAAGTAATAGCAATCTTCAATGGTTGGTCTGTGTTGTATTGTCAGTATGTCCTTTTATGAGGTGTTGTAGCTTGACTTTTTAAAATATAAACGTTATAAGTTATAACCATTGCAGATTCAAATTTAAAAAATAATTTGGCTATCACACATCATCATAGTTTTCCCATCCTAACTAGTCATCACTGACAGAACAAGCCAAGGCTTACCAAGATGACCAGAAATGACCAACATTCAAGAAATTCTAAGTTATAACTTCATATTTACATTGGAAAATTATTATGTTGCCGTAAATCTTAAAATTTGTAATTTTAACTGTAATTGCACATAAAACATTGTAAAAACTTTATAAGTATATACAATAACTAATAAAAATATTAAATTTTTAGGTTAATGATGATTATTCTAATGAAATTGGAACGTTATTACAATAAAACATTACTTACTTTTCCCTTATGATTTCCTTTAAGCTGTATTTCACCAGCCATCCTTGAATCATGTTCTCAAATAGCATTTTTAAATGAATTTCAGTTTCAGTGTACATTCTTTCATTGGACATAATAATATTATTGATATCCTAAAAGAGATTCTATATCATCTCTTTTTCTCCAAACAAAAAAAAGAAAAATGGAATTACCAAGGCAGACCTTGATAAAAATGCTTATTTTTCTGTCGATTAAAGGTTTAGGGAAGTGGTGGCAATTCATCAAGTTATTTTTAAAGTTTGTCAACATAATTTTACAACCTTTCGATTGTTTTTTCATTATCACATCTACTTCACAACGCCAGTTGTTAATCGCTTCTTCCCATTCTCCTTTCAGCGCCTTCATTTCATCATCATAGTTCTGAAAGTATTTGTATATAAGTTAAAAATACTGGGTGGATAAGAAAAAATACACACCATGTTTTCAAGTCTCGCTTTGACATCGTTTAAGAATTGTATTAAACAATCTGTGACTTTTTTTAATTCACCTTCCTTTGCAGTGCTCAGTGTTTGTAACTGTTTTGAAAATGCTTCTTGAGCGCAGTTGTATGACTCTATTTTCGTTTTCTCCAATTTATACAAAATCTCTTCGAGACGCTTTTCCTCTAAAAGATCAAAATATTTTAATGACCACTAACATACTAAATCAGGAAAAAATTTATTAAACTTATTGATTTAAATAAACTCAATTCTACACATATATGCGCATGCATACACATAAGTTCAAAATCGAACCGATGACTTCTTGGGGCTTGTAATCAACCAGTTCAGTCTTCTGGTAGTTCAGGGCTAAACTTTTCTTATCCAAGCCACCTAAAGTTAGTCTTCAGGGGTATTAAAAACAAAGTCGTTTCAGCCCCCTATACATGCAGTTTTAACCCACTAACTCCCTCTCTTACTCATTCTTAAATACATTCCCTCTTATTTACATACCTTTCGCTTAAATAGGGTGATGGACTTGATATTCTCAAATTACCCTTTTGCACACAAACTTAAAATACACTAACTTGTCAAATTGGGGGTCAACTTAACATTTTACACACACTCTCACAAACTATCTTTCAAACAAAAGCATGACAATTTTTCTTTCAGAGCACACAATACACTTGATAAGTTAGTGCACATGAGATGGAATGATAATGAATCCTTCACAGATTTATTAAACTTACCAATTTTATTCGAGTTATTTTCAAAAATTGTATATAACCACATTATTAAAATTTATTATAAAATATATATAGAAACAGAAAACAAGAGGAAAAGAGAAGATGCCCCTGAAATAATCTGCTAATTAAATTACAAAAATATGGTTGTACAAATTTCATGAAGATAATCCTTTATGAGAAAAAATGAGAAAATCTAATAAACTTATATTATTTAAACTATTTAGGTAATTTTTTAATTTTTCAAGCCGGCCAAATAAAAGAAAATACTAAAAATTGAATACATAATGCTTTATATTGTTAAAACAAAGCTTTTTTATATTGTGCAAATTGGTCATTTCTGTGGTCTGCCTAACATCGCAGGGTTTTTTCTGTTAAGACCATCTAGATCCAAAGGCCAAAATGATCTGTAACAATTAAATTACAGGTTCTTCACCCCTCAGATCACATGGAGAAATCTCACAATTCAATCTTTATTTCCACTGGAAAGATTCTAAAATAAACTTAGTTCAGCTAGTTTATAGATAAGGAATTGTCAATGTAGATATACATATTGTTCTATTGTAGTACTAATTTGTACCAATATTTAATAAATTTAACATTGTATTGTACCAAGTGGATTTTTAAGACATATGTTTAATAAATTAATCAAATTTTACCAGCATTTGAATATTTGGGTGCATCTTGTTCGTGGATGGCAAGTTGGTTATCAAGGTCCAAGTTTAAACAAATTTCCTTCTTTCCTGCATTACCACAGTAACCTAAATTCTCTTGAAACATTTCTACAATTAAATACGCAATTTACGTTTTAAAATAATCCTCTTTCTTGTCTTTAGACTAAATTTATTAAATCAGTAAAAGTTTCAACATATGATTCAATGAGTCATATTTGGCAGTAGATATACGTCAGTCAAAGATTTAGAACAGAATTTTTAAAGTTACTTTGATTTTTCCTTATGAAAGTCTTGAAGAGGGTCAGAAATGTTTTCATAACTCAATGGAAATTGTAAATTCTTGATAGCATGATTACTACATCATTACATCAACGGAAATTGTTGGTAATACAGCACTCTGACTCATTCACCCAAACTAACAACTATATACAAACACAAACAAATATATACATACATACACTATAGAACTACACAATAATTATATATAATATTTACAATATTTATGCGTGAGAAACCAACCCCCGATTCCCTTAAAAATCAGAACAGGAGACTCAACAACCCACCCTTGTGCCCACTGTCTTTATTGGGTGCTATGCCTACTCACTCCCCGTAAAGGACCAAGTCTTGGCACTCTTTGCCCAAGTGACACACGAGCAACCTTTCTTTAAAAGCAAGACATCGGCACAGGATTCGCCCCAAAAGTAGGTGTCCGTGTGCCAATCAGGTATGGCCTATCCTCAAACTGTGAGCACTAGGGTGGTTTTTGCTCAGTCGTGCTCTTGAGAGATCTTTTATTGGGTTCTTTACTGCTCATACAATGTCACTAGGCCTGGTTCAAAGTGGTTTGTCTATAGGGCAAAACGTCCCAACTTTTCCTACCACATCTGCACATTCATTGCCCTCCAGGCCAGGTTCCCAGATGACTACCACTATTTTTCCGAGGCACTCAAACTCAGCATATTTCTTTAATAGAGTATACGATAGGTCCACCATGAATTTTCACAAATAGCTGAAACTTTGTTCAGGGAGGTGCAGACAAGATAGGAAGAGACTCATCTCGAATCTCCCCAAGTACAAAGTGGCCCACACCCAGTGGCCACAAAGTAGACAAGCCTCCACTACACACGGCACAGTCCACACCTCACCAGTTCTAGACCTGTCTGTATAGACGAGGCAAAAACCAGCAAACCCTGATCTGAGTTCTAGGAATGCAGCTCGGTGTAGAGGTCTGCAGCAGTATACATGACCTGGATAGTTTGCAAGATTGTTCCAGACAAGTACAGGAGGACCAAGGGAGGGGTCAGCCAGTTTCCCAGCCAATGCAAACTGACCCTACCTATGGCTTCGCCAAAGCAAATGACCAGGAGTCATGTCCAAGTTCGATATCTCTCGTATACCTGGCAAAGGGTCAAGGGGGGCCCGGCTTGACCAAGAAACCCCTTGCATAGCTGAGTTGGGATAGCTCACATAGCTCTCCAGGATTTGGTGGCAAACCTCCCAACTCACAGCAGAGGATGGCCAAGGGGCTGGTTCTAAATGCACCTGAAGCAGATCAAAATCCCTGAGCCTGTCAAGCAACAAGAGAGACGTTTTTCTTGAGCAGAGCAATGCTTTGAATTAATTCAGTGAGTCCCCTCCGCTCCTCGTTACTATTATTCTCAATTAAATACCCATGTATTATGCCAGGATTCGAACCCAGAACCACTAGCATGACAAATACGAGTCGGACGCCCTAACCACTCTAATAGAGTAGTTAAACTGACATCACAAACACAAGGAAATGGCCATATAAAACGCAATTTTATATTCAACACATATAAAATTTATTTGAGCACGTTGTTAACAAAATGTTTCCCTTAATTTTTAAATCACTGTTTTCGTTTAATACAATTATTATTAATCATGAAGAAGTCATGAATATTTAACGACAGTACAAAGCGACTAGAAATGAAGTTTTTCTATTGATTCACTAAGCTGTTCTAGGCTTGACATCAAAGCGGCCATGTTTTGCTTTCCTTCCCTCAGACCCTCCTCGGTGAGCGGGGCGTACAGTTCTTGTGTTGCGCCAAGCTCAAAATGAAGTTTTGCCAATTTCTCCTGCTGTTCCCTTATACCCGTCATCTGTTCCATACTACAGTCCTTTCCTAGAAGCAAGATTCATTTAAGAAGATATAAAGTTAACCATATCAAAAACTTAGTCTTCTAAGGAATAATAATATATTGTATTAATCCATATATATTTAGCGGTCATAATTGAGCATATTAATTATTTCAATTAATTGTTCTTTTTATCTAAGGGATGGTTGAAATAAAAAAAATTAGTGTCTCATGCGAGATTCGAACCCATGACCTTCAGCTCAATACACCGCTGCTCTAAACACTTCAGCTATTGTGACATCACGTGAAGTCACAATAGCTCAAGTGATTAGAGCAGAGGCAAATTGAGCTGAGGTCATGGGTTCAAATCCCGTTGTCACTAACTGTTTTATCTCAACCAATACCTTAGATTAAAAAAATAATTAACTGAAATATATTTTATGTTCTACTTTGAATGTATTACATTTCCCACAAGAGGTGGGTATATCAATATTTTTTTAATTGTGAGATTTCTTTTTCTTTTTTTTCCACTGACCAAATCTTATCAGGAAAATGAGCAAACTACAATTCTTAATTGCTGCTCATAATTACTAAAGCTAATTAAAGCTATAAACTTCCTACTGTCTTATTATATGTTTGAACTATTATTATCACATTTAATTTGACTGTGTAGTAGCATGGATGAAAATCAATCTGTCCAATAAGAAGGTTTTGACATTACAAGAAAATAAATTTAAATTTAAACAGAATCAGGCTGTCATTTGTGTTTTTTGCGATGCGGTCAATGCTGTGCTAAGTGACAAATCGGATGATAAAACCAAACCTTTTTTTTTTTTTTTATTAATTGTCTACTATTGAGAGAAGTAACTAATTGATTTTATACTCACCGAATGCTCTAAGATTACCGCTATGAAAATCCTCGAGTAAAGACAAGAGTGCCGTCTCCATTCTCCTAACATCAGTGACATCTGAGAGAAAACAGTGGTGGTGAGCAGGTCGGTCCAACACTCCCACTTCATGCATATCGATAAAATAGGTACCCAAAATATATATAAAAAAAAAGAATGGAAAATAAAAATAAACGAAAACGAAAATGGCTTTAAAAATAGGGTAAAAGAAGTACTGTTTAAAAAAGAAATATAAATAAGTATTGTACTTTATTTTAAACTACAAAATAATAGAACGCTGATAAGAAGCAGATCATGCTTATAAAACCTTTCAGTATTTAACGCTGAATACATGCAAACATTTAATCAAAGGAATACCTCTTTTTATTCTGTTCGGAGCAGGAGGATGCGCCGGCCTCGCCGGCCTGTTAATCAACTTTTCATTCACGTACAAAAATCTCGTCCCACCTGAAATACTCGACATTTGAATAATTTATAAGTCACAAATCGTTCAATACTAGAATAACTTAAACGACCAGAACCACTACTATTTGTAGCAAGAGCGGGAGCTGTTGAAATTCGACAAAGTGACCTCGAACTAGAAGAGCCAAGACTTGTCGCACCCCTGGCACTGCACCCACCTACAGATGAAGAGATATCCTAAAAATATGCATACACATTTTCAAAAATTATATCAAAGCTATTTCTAAATAAATTAATCCAGGATTAAAAAAATACCAATTACATTTAATTTAAATCATAACAAAAAATTATACTGCAAGCAAAACACTAACAAAAATGATCTAAACTACTGAGTAACAATAAAATTAATAATTGACTAATCAACCATAAACTACATAAATAACTAAATATTTGCAACATGCAAGTATAAATAGCCTTCACCATATAGGTATTAAGGAAAATGTTTCAAGGATTAAAAAAAGTATGAGAAATCCAATAAATGAGCTTTTGAAATTGTGTACAAAAATGCTAACCTACCATAATAATTCTGTATTTCAAAATTTGTGATAATGTTGATTATATAGAAAAAGACTTGGTGGTTAATTTGGGCTAAAAACTTGAATTATTGTATTTACATGAGTATTATATTTATCAGTCTTGATTAACACCGATTGCAGTTTGGTTTTCATCTAATGAAGAGGGTATTAAACAAAAATTGTCTGAAACCAGACTCTCAGCATAATTTAATGCCAAATATGAAAATATATTTTCTAAATTCAATCCCAGTTGTGATGGTTTCTTTCTTTTCTAATGTAACTATATTATAGACACATTAAATAAGGTATAAAAAAAATTTGCAGAAATTATTTAAATTAAATGCACCAATAATAAATCAGCATTAAGGACGATTTCATATACCTCTAATTGTTCTGGCACCTGACATAATAATTAAGATAATTAATAATTGAGAAAAAAGTAATAAGGTGGTTCAAATGTGGATACCAATAAGAGAAAATTGAAAGAAACCAACTAGCCAACGAAGTTACAGAGTTTAAATTCAGGATAATAGGATAAAAATTACAAGCAACTCAAAGTATGCTTACAGTCTAGACTAAAAACTCTCATACTAGTCTAAAAATATCAGTTCTAAAACAATACAAAAACTAGTTTGATAGTTTCTGGTCATTTTAGTCTGCCTATAGACCGGTTCGGTCTGACAGATGTGTTTCAACATTTTATCACCTTCAGTCGTTAAAAGTTTGTGCATTAGTTCCTCATAAATGATTCATAAAGACATATGCTCGAAGCAGCTGGATGATATTTCGGTAATAAAATAAGAAAACGGGTGGAACATGTGCTGCTAAAAAATCCTGTATTTAAAGAGCTAAAGAATAACAAAAGGAGAAACTTCAAGACCGGGAATTTAAATTCAAATGAAATTTTTAATTTTAGATTCGCCCTGATAAAATCGGTAGATGAACGCTCTTTAGCTGATACAAATCCATTTTAAGAACTGATCATCACTGTTTCAATTTGGAAAATTTAATTATCGATTGGTGATGGTAGCTATGGGTTCATGACCTCATACACACCCAACATTTCACACTTAACTACATTAAAACATATTTCTTGTAATATTTGCATTATGTTACACAAATTTCTTCCAATTAAGAATAAACATCAATGCTTAATGACTTTGTATCTGTTCTATTCTGAACAACCTCTAATTCATTTGGGGAATATCAACAATCACCAGTGAAGATTGAAAAACTACAAAACAAAAAAAATACATACATACATACGCCCTTTAAGAACTTGTGTAACACTTGTTCTATACTTATAGAAGGTATTTGTGCTTAAATTGAATTGATTAATTTTATGCAGTGTATTTGGGGTACTACACTTACTAATCCAGATGCTGTAGGATCAAGTCCCCCTCGTGATGCTAACTTTTCATCTTAACCTGACTTTGCATAAAAATAATTAATAAATTACTTCAAATAAAGTTACTTTAGAGGCATCGGTGGTTACAACGGTCTAGGCGTTGACCCAGCACTCATCACTCTAAGGTAAAGGCCGTGGATTCGAATCCAGCAACATTCAAACCCGATAAACTTACAAATGGGCTTTTTTTTCAAAAACATCAGCACCCCTCGTAAAAAAATTAGATGCAGGATACTTTGTTTAATATGACCAACAAAAACATATATAAATTTAAATATAATAAATGGACTTACTTAAAAGTCCTTTCACTTTAGCATTTGTTTCATTTCTATTTTGATCAAATTTTTCAGACAAGGAACCGTGTGGCCGAGTGGTTAGGACACCCGAGTCATATTTGTCACGCTACCAGTCCTGGATTCGAACCTGGCACAGTTCATGGATTTTTAAGTGAGAACAGTACAGAAGAGTTTTGGCTTCTCATCCATGACACCCGAGTAGTTGGTCGTTAAGCCCTCCTGAAAGGAATTACTTTACTTTAAAAGTCCTTTCAGCCAGTGTCCAGAGTTTGTCAGGTATCTCTATTTGAAAATACCCTGTGGGGGTTGGCAAAGGGCGTTACATCTGTCTACAAGTGCCATGGATGAAGAATCAGAAAAATACCTAAACCGATGTTAGGAATCAAACCCATGGCCCAACGGTGTATCCGTGATATCTTGATAAACAAAAATAAAATACTTCCGCAGTAATATTTAAAACTTGTTTTGGTTGAGGTGTAACTGTCAATTGTCAAGCAGAAAGCTCAAGTTAGAGGAATTCGCACACCCAAGTGCACAACGGGGAAAAACAACAGATGCTACATTAAGCGGTGCTCGAGATACCTCCTGAAAGCGTGCTAATCTGACTCATCCTTCGGATGAAATGTACAAATTACATACAAAAACTTGAAAAATTGAAATCCTTATGAATCGAGAATATACTTTATTGCTTTCAGGCGATGTGGGGGACGTTTGAGTTATTTTGGATATCCCAGGGCTAACTGGTGGAGTGACCTCTTCGGGCTTCCTCGTCGCCTCCTCTTCGACGTCGACTTGAACCAACTGCTGTAGGTCTCCTTCTCCTACTTTGCCCTCCGTCATTTCACTTCTGCTATCTTCTAGGCGACGAAGGCATCACTCGGTTCGGAAGTAGGAACGAAACAACTGCAGGCGGGCAGGAACTGACGTCTGACAGTCGCCTATTGACATTCGACACCGTTATTGACTTTCTATTGACCGACCACTGACCAAACAAACTTTGATTCGAGATTTCGAGCTACAGCTGATCGATTAGTCTGAACTCTATTGATTATAATTTGTCTACTTCGCCCACAGAGGCCAGTATAAATTCAAATAAAGCCAACTTTTTTCTCCCTCTCAAGAGACAAATAAATGACATATTTATTATTCTTCCATTAAAAACTACAAACAAAAATTATATAACACCTAAGAAAAACTGTACATATAAGCATCCAAAGAACAGACCAGAACCACCATCATCAATCGGGAATTTAAAATCACATTTGGTCAATAATTGACAAATCTGACAGGCAGCTTTCATACAATAAATTGATCGAACAATTCTAAAAATTATGTGAAATCAAAATGCACCCAGATCAAAAATGAAAATCATGCAGCAATTATAAAAATTATATAAGCATATTTTTTCCTCGGGATTGTTGGTGACCAAAGACTCTCTTTCTTCCATTGTGACCTAAAAGATACATAGAAATGATAAATGGTGTAGAGAGTGTGTTGGTCAATCTTTTTAAAAAGAATAAAAGATCTATTGTGAAACTGGCCCTTCTTATAAGCCTTGAAAAGTGCACATTACAAGGTAGTTCAGCACTTTACATGATACCAATATTCCTTTTCTGAAGGGGCTTTCCTGGCCCAAACTTTGCAGTAAAGTAATAGCTTCAATTGTGGAATCAACCCTTTTTTATTTCCAAGCCTCAAAAAGTGCACAACCCTTAAGGCAGTTTAGCATTTTGTGTGATCTTCACTTATTTATTTAAGAATTAAATTCGCCTTTCTGAAAAGGATTAAAAAAAAAATTTTTTCCCCATTAATTTAGTTCCATGTTTAGCATGTTTGGGCTAATTTGTGGTTCAGGTCCAATGGGCTTGAGAGCTGCTTCTGCCTTTGGTCGTTTGTCAGTCTGTATGTTTCCTTCAATCCCTTTGTGTTCTTCACATCAGAATTACATCATTTTCCCAAGAGCTGGCGTTATGTCAGGCATTCCTAGTCTAGCTCTTCTTAGTTGAAGGTGGAGGAGTTTAAGACATTCAGACATTGGCAGTCTGAGAAGTATATTATAGACATATACTATTGGAAGGACTTGGAAAATCAATGGTGCGGGGAATAAAAGGTTTTGCTAGGCAAAAATTTGAGTCTTTGACTCCTGCCCCCAACTCAATGAACCATTTTAGATCCAATCTATATACCATAATAAGGCTCATCTATCTCTCTATTATTTATTTTTTTTTTGTAATTTTTTAAATTTTCTTTTGACTAACATTTTTGTAGCAACCTTATTCTTTTTCAGGATTTCATGATGGTTTTATTTCATTTTGTCCTAAGAATTTGCTGCATTTTCATATCCCATCCTCTGGATGTATGTATGCAACAAAAGTAATCCCAGTGCCACTTCCGTTGGTAAAATAGTAGTTAATGTAGTAGTCCAGTAAGTTAAGGCATGCCATGTAATTTCTTTAATTGATCCTGTGTCTTATTCAAGTTACTGAGCATGAGAATATTTGTAGACAATTTCTAAAATTAATCTGTACCATCAGTTCTATCGAGTGGCTAAAATCTAGGTAATTTGCCATATAAAAATGAATTGCTAAACACTTTTCTTGTTTATTGTATGAATCAATGATTTGGCAGACGATCTATCTGATGATAGTACCATCATTGCACTTCTTGCCTCTAGAAGAAGAAGAAGAAGAAAAATAACTTTCTGGTTACCTGGTGTCCCCTAAGAATAATTTACATGAAATAAATAAAGGAAGTTCCTTCTATGAAGTTAAAAGTAAAAAAAAAAAAAAATAGAAATCTTGGCACAATGTATACCAATAAGGCAGGACAGAAGAAAAAAATTACAAGAATATTAAACACAAATAACAAATGTTAATGTGAGGTCTCTGCTTGGAGGGAGAGGAGGTGATTATGCAGGTGAGATTTAAAGGAGGAAAAGGAGGAAGCGTGACGAATAGAAAGGGGAAGGGAGTTCCAGAGTTTAGGGGCTCGGATCAGAAAGGATCTTTCGAAGGTATGGGTTGTATGTTGCGGAAGGATAAGGTCGATTGGGGATGAGCGGGTCTTACGAGTGAGATGTGAGGAGTTGAATTGGAGGGATTGGATGATGTAAGGAGGACGACGAGTTTGGATGGACTGGAAAAGAAAGCAACCTAGGAAATATTGTACATGGAAGGAGGGGAATAGCCAGGAAAGTTGGGAATACAACCCCGACACCCGGGATCCCCGTGGGGTGCCGTACACAAATCTTACGCAACAATTCATAATACGCTTCAATCGCACGTTCTCCCCCTCCGAGAGACCACCATATGCCAAACAGCTATAATCGAAGAAGGGAAGTATAAGGGAAGATACAAGGAGTATATAATATATAGGTCTTACATCAGGGAATTACAATTTTTGCTAAATACTACTTGACTATTTGCTCATCTTGTGCCTGGCATATCTTCCTAGATTTGTTGTTCTTCGGTTACCCAAGATTCCAGGTCTTTTATAAAACAAATATATTCCACAATATGGATTTAGGTCTATGGGCTGTTCCGAGGATCCTGTTTTAGCAATTATATCTGCTTCCTCATTGCCTGAAATTCCCTCATAATCACAACACACATTAGCATTAGGCCATTTGTAGAACCCAATTTTATTTAGGGTATTAGGGCAGTGCCAGGTGAGTTTTGGGGTAATTGTAAGCTTGGAGAGCCTTTGCAACTGCTTGATTGTCTGAAAAAACAATTATTGCTGCACTTTTGAGTTGGTTTCATGCACACAGGTTTATAAAAGTCCAGCCTGAATGATGGTTTTGGTGGTGCTATGTGGTGCACATGGTGCATGCTATGCCTTGCCATAAAATAACGACGTTTAACTTCTTTTGCTTTATTTTTCCAATATGCACTCTTTTCACTACTTGCTTTGAAAGTTTTCAGGGTTTTTGAGGTTGAAAGTGTTCATGTTTTTGGCCACTGCAATCTTCATTTTGCTTGCATCGTTTTTTATCAAGATATTTTTAAGGTGTCTTGACATAGATTTTAGAGTTTTAAGAGAAAAATTCACACAGACAAGCGGCGAAATGGAAAATAATCGAACTCACCCCAAAGATTTCTACAAGCGGTGGAAAAAATGCGGGAGTAGTCAAGGATGTAATGCGATGTTGAATATAATTCTTTTCTTTATTCTCGCAGATTGGAAAATATGCGAAGAAGATATTGTTGATTTAAAGAGAAAATGGATTTCCCGCCCGCTGAAAATGAGTAAAAGTGGGGAAAAGGACGACTTCGAGAGGGACCGGAGCGAGCTTGACGTTCTTTGATGAAGAGGCCGCTGACGTTGCGTCCCAAGCAGTAGTGCTTTCCAAGGGCCAGAAGTCAGAACCACCTTGGCAGGCTCGGTGAGATGCCAGTCTCGAGTGTTGCCCGCGGCGCGTGTTTTTGTAAACAAACTATTTGTTGAAAAAATCGTGGATTTCGTTAAGAAAAACCAAAACAAAAAAAGTCGAGCCATGTTTTCAAGCGTTCTTTAACGGCCTCGGCTATTTCCCAAGTTGCAGCTTCGTCGACAATGTAATGCCTTCAAGTCAACAAAATCTCAATTGTATCTGGAAAAGAACGAAAAATCCCCGTCCACCGAGATGACACGCCTCCTCTCTCCTGTTTTACTATGTAAGTAATTTTTTTCTTTTTAAAGTACTAGTGTTATGCATTCTGCAGGGCGTTTTTAAATTAGAAAGAAACTGACTGCGAAAAAAACCACTGGCGTGTTATCATAGGTGACAAAACCGTCTCGGCTCGGTAGAATCTTTGCCCAAAGAACAAAAATTCTAAACGAGTTTTTTAAAAAACAAATCGTGATCAAAATTTGCGAAAGCGCGCTTCGTTCTTGTTATGACCTACTTTGTACTTGTTTTTGAATTTTCTCTCGACAAAACGTACTTCTTGAATAATTTTTCATCCCCCAAAAATTTTTTTTTCGAAAGTCGAAACGGGAAAACCACCTGTCTCGTACACACGTCGAAATGGAAATCGTCCCAAGGGGAGAATGTCGCCCGTCAGGTCTAATTACGTGGAAATGGGAAAACGGTCCGATCCTGGGATTTAAACAATTTGGGAAATTATTCAGGTAGAAAATCGGCGGGCGATTTCGTACCTGGAAGGCTTCGGAAAAGCTAACCAAAAGCCGTCGGCGAAAGGCCATTTTTCGAACCGGAAGTGTTAACCGTCTTCTCCACTCCCATCGGGGTCTTCTGCCCAAAATCCACTTTTCAATGGATTAACAAATAATAGATGGAAATAGATTTATTTTATTTTACAATCATCAAGGTTGATGATATACGATTCATGATAACGTACAGGAAATAAACAGATATTAAAAAAATGGAATTGCATTTGATTATTTTAACATTTAACAACTATTTTTTTAAACAATTATACTATGGGCAAACTACAATTCTGAAAGACAAACCATTTTGTAAAAACTTGCCAAACTTATGCACAAATAGCAGATATTTTACAGGAAATTGGTGGAATTGTATTTGATTATTCTTAACATTTAACTTTTTTTTTTTCAATTATGCTATGTTCAAACTAAAATTCTGAAAGACATAATTTTTTAAAACCTTGCCAATATTATGCACAGATAATAGATATTTCTCAGGAAATAAACAGACAACCAAAAAATCTATGTAGAATTGTATTTGATTATTTTTAACAGTTAACAACTATTTTTTTTGAAGCAATTATGCTATGTTCAAACTACAATTCTGAAAGACATAATTTTTTAAAACCTTGCCAAAATTATGCACAGATACAGATATTTTACAGGAAATAAACAGCCAAACAAAGAAATCTACGTGGAATTGTATTTGATTATTTTTAACATTTAACAACTATTTTTTTAAAACAATTATACTAGGGGAAAACTTCAATTCAAATCTACGTGGAATTGTATTTGATTATTTTTAACATTTAACAGCTATATTTTTAAAGCAATTATACTAAGTGCAAACTTCAGTTCTGATAGACAAATGATTTTTTAAAACCTTGCTAACATTATGCACAGATAATAGATATTTCTCAGGAAATAAACAGACAACCAAAAAATCTATGTAGAATTGTATTTGATCACTTTTTTAACATGCAAAACCTATTTTTAAACAATTATACTCTATGCAAATGACAATTTTGAAAGACAATTTTTTTTTAAATTTCCGATATTATACGCAGATTGCAGATTGTAGATATTTCGCTGAAAATAAACATTTATCCAAAAAATGTACTCGTAATTGCATTTGAGGAGTTTCTTAACATGAAAATTTTTTAAACAGCAGTTATGCTATATGCCAACGACGTTATACAAAGATTAATAATTTTTTATAAACCTTTCAATATTATGCACTGATAGCAGATATTTTGCAGGAAATAAACAGATAGCCAAAAATATTTACTTGCAATTGCACTTGATCATTTTTAACATTTAACAACTATTTTTTGAAAGCAATTGTACTATGTGTGAATGACATTTTTGAAGGACAAATCATTTTATTGAAACTTTTCAATATTTACAATATAATATAAACCAATATCGACGTCTTCTCCAAGCAAGTGCCTGATTTTTTGTCTTTGAGTGAATCGTTTGCAAAAATAAACATATAGCAAATTTAATCTACTCTGAAGTGCATTTGTTCTATACATACCCACTTCCTATTTATGAGTTATTTAATAAAAATATAATCAAGGATCATACTTTGAAAGCTTATCTCCTGTAATGTGCTGTCTGCTGAAATTTTAACGTACCAGAACAACAATTTCATACTCAAATAGAAACCGTTCATTTATTAGATTTTTACATTTNAGTCCTGCATAAACCTTTTGGACATATTCACAAACCCCATTTTGGACCATTTTATCTTGGGGAGTGATTTGGCAATGTCTTCTCCTTCAAAAGTTTCAAATCTATGCCTGGCATACCTATCGCATTCTGCAAGGTAGTGTCGAGCCGTTTCTTCCTTTGTTTCACAGAACCGGAAATATATACGCAGTATTAGTAACCAATTATACAATGTGCAAACGACATTTTGAAAGGCAAAAAATTTTTTTAGAGTCTGGTCCGCCTATTTCGCTAGTTTATGATTTATAGGAAGTTGGAATATAATCATTGTTATACTATGAGATATTTTTTTTACAGCACATTTATTAAAAAACGATTGTCATAAAACGTTTAGTTCGCATAAAGTAATTGTTACAAGTACACTAAAATTAGTTATTCCAGCGTAAATTGGAGATTCGCTTGCAAAATGAACAATTTGAAATTGGTTTCATATAATAACGCTAAATGTAAATATTAATAATAATATAATTATAAAAATGCATTAAAAATTAAGTAACAGAATAATGTAGTAGTAAAATATTTTTCCGAAAGAAACCTTGTACATGAATTACAGGAGTTAAAACAGTCGTATGTGTCAAAAGTACCTTAAAAAAGGTTTAAGAGTAATGTGTGGTGATTAGTGACCGTTAATCGATAATTATTCAGAAATCGTGAGATGCGGTCTGGTGTGATGTAGGTTTCAGAAAAACATTTTCTTTANAAGATGATCTCAATAAAGATCGAAACGTTGGCACGATAAAGAAAATGTTTTTCTGAAACCTACATCACACCAGACCGCATCTCACGATTTCTGAATAATTTAAGAGTAATAATAAATGGTGAAAATAAAAGAATGGTGATAATGGCAATAAAAATAATAAGTGGTACCTGGTATGCTGTCAGGAGATACAGCGTGCATATTATGCAAATAAAATTACATCATTTATAAAAAAAACAACAAATAAAATAAAGGCTAACAAAAAAGAAAAATATAATATTGGTGATCTTCGTTTGAAGGATTATCTCCATTATCATTTATCATATTTCAGAATTTATATTTTGTTGTAAACAAAAATTACTGCGTGTAAGTTTAACTTGTTTGAATGACCTACCAGCAGTTTTTGTTGCTGTATTTTTCTCATATCTTTTATAAATTTTTAGGAAGGACTCTGAATTCGGTCTGTTTTGGTGTCATACTATATAGTACATAACTAAATATATAGTTTTTGAATAATAATATATGAAAATTTTAAAACATCGTTTCTGTCGGATTTGTACATGTTTACAATGTTTGCTTTTTAATAACTCACTTCATATTTATTCACAATTTAATATAAGAGTCTTAGTTTACAAACTTATCTCCAATTGGCAATGGAATAACCAATATCTCCTAATATAATGTGCATTTCCTATAAATTATGGAATAGCGAAAACGTAATCCATAAATAAGTACAGGCTTCTTTGTAAGTTTTATTTTGTATTAGGTGTGCATAACTACAACACCTTGCAATATTTTTTTTAAATTGGAACGCATTTTAAAAATAATTTCCTAAACACCCTGTACACTATTCATGTACAAATTACAACAAAAGGGGGATAAATTTACAAGGAATATTCCGGTCTTATATTACAGTTATGGACTACAAAAACAAACCCATAAAGTAAAACCAGATTTTTAGCTGTTAAAAGGAAAATAAAAGCATGTTGCTAATGGCAATAAAAATAATAAGTGGTATCTGGTATGCTGCCAGGAGATACAGCTTGCATATTATGCACATAAATCACAAAGTGTAAATATAAATTTACACGGGGTACCTCCCCAATAAGGTGCCAACACATGATAATTTGAAAAATAATGTGATAATTATTAACTTTTCCTAAAAAAAAGAGAATACGCTTTTGAATAATTAGTTCTGAATTCATGTAGGGAATAAACGATGCTTCAATACGATGTAAGACCGGTGAGGTTTTGAGTAATCGCTTGAGGGATTCTGGTCTGTTTTCCAGAGGAATTCAGTCTCATTCTTACAAAATAACGGTCTCCGCGATGTTCGTAGGCGTCGGATCACGACCTCCAACAATACTTTTCAGAAAGTGCTGTACAATTTGAGACAAGGGATTGAAGTTGACAACCTCGAGAAATCTTACACGAGAATCTGCCAATTTTGTAAATTGCTATTTGCAAAGAACCTCTACAAATAGAATGGGACCTCTTTGACAATTTCGTACAGATTTATCCACTTTTTTCTTTCTGTGTAACTATGAATAAAATTGGTCTCATCTTGGACCACCCGCTCTCTATTTTTTATGCCAGTAGGTCTTGCGAGAAGTGGGCCTCATTCTGGCATTTTCTCCGTTTTCCGATGGAACATTACATGATTCAGAGGACCGTGAAGTGGTCTTAGAGGCTAAGAAGAATTACTTTAAAACCCAACATACAATAAAACAGTAAATAGACATCATGTTGTTTCAAATATCAAGATATATATATTACGCAGGGCGGGTGACCACGACCCGAGGGGTTAAAGCCTAGGTAGGCCCGTACCCCATCCCTAAAAGGTGACCTGGTCGGCTCACGAGTCCTGCATAAACCTTTTGGACATATTCACAAACCCCATTTTGGACCATTTTATCTTGGGGAGTGATTTGGCAATGTCTTCTCCTTCAAAAGTTTCAAATCTTTCCCTAGCATACCTATCGCATTCTGCAAGGTAGTGTCGAGCCGTTTCTTCCTTTGTTTCACAGAAGCGGCAAAAGGGGTCTGGTAGAGTACCCATTATGAAGAGGTGTCTTCTCA